TTTCACTTTTCAACTACTGTCTGGTGCCTCTACCAGTTACCCACTATTTCTCAGTAAATGCTGTCAAACCAAGGCACAGCTGTACGAGCTTCTTGCACGCTATATTTCACTGCAGATGTTGCTGTCGCTGTACCACCTGCCGTACCTGCTGCTGCACTCGTTGCTGTACATGCTGCCGACCATGTTGCTGTGGATGTGGTGGTGGATGTGGTGGAGGATGCGGTGGTGGATGTGGTGGAGGATGTGGTGGAGGCTGTGGAGGAGGTAAGTAACCTACCCTACCGTATCTATCGGTCTCCAACTCTAATCTGAACCCTACTAGGCTGCGGATGTTGCGGTTGTGGTGGTGGTGGTCGTAAGAGAAGATCTCTTGATAACCTTCGTATCCGTCTTGGCATGAAACAGTCAGCTGAAGCTAACAATGAGCAGCCAGCTGAACACGAGTTTCCCAGGGAGAAAAGAGTGAGTTCAATATGAAAGCTCTTTTTTAACAAACAAAGGAAAATCTGAATTTTAGAATATTATGTGCCAAAATCTATGCGCTGCTCCAGCTCCTGTCCATGCAGGATTCCCAAGATCTCACGAATTTTACGGGGACTACTGAACGTTTACCTCAATGTGTGAATGATTAGCTTTCTTTGGATAGATAGTTGTATTGATAATTTATTGAAGAATAACTATTTTGATAAATCTATTTATTATTTCATATATGTAAGCAGTGACAGTCACAGGATATTTTTCGATGAGCGGACGAAGAGAAAAGGGGGAACTTGACGGGGTCTTCAAGCAAACTCTCATAAGACTTTTAGATTTCTTAAGAGTTCAAGAAAATGATTGCCTGTTGCTTATTCAAATCCTTCTCCAAAAATAAATCAATTTTTTTGAAGAAATTATTTTATCTTTAAACATCAACGGGAGTGAAGAATCCTCATATAGATATTATCTTTATCTCCTTATGTGGTCTTTCTTCGTCTATCTATCACGGATTACGTAAGCTAGGGTAAGGATTTTTACCGCCATATAGCCCTGCTGCTAACAACACTTCTACCTGCATGTTTTTC